AGGAGGCTAGCTAAAAGCTAAATGTAATAGTTCAGGTCTTAACAGCTGAAATGAACAAAAACAGTTCCTAAAAACTTGTGTACTGCAAAAGACTAGCTAAAAGCTAAATGTAATAGTTCAGGTCTTAACAGCTAAAAGTATCAAAACAGTTCCTAAAATCTTGTGTATAGCAAAAGACTAGCTAAAAGCTAAATGTAATAGTTCAGGTCTTAACAGCTAAAAGTAACAAAACAGTTCCTAAAAATTGAATATAGCAGGAGGCTAGCTAAAAGCTAAATGTAATAGTTCAGGTCTTAACAGCTGAAAGTAACAAAACAGTTCCTAAAAACTTGTGTACTGCAAAAGACTAGCTAAAAGCTAAATGTAATAGTTCAGGTCTTAACAGCTAAAAGTAACAAAACAGTTCCTAAAAACTGAATATTGCAAAAGGCTAGCTAAAAGCTAAACATAAAACGGTTATTTAATACTAAAAGTTGCAAAAAAGGTGAACTAAAAGCTAACATTATAAAAAAGCATGCTGAAAGTACTGGGTAGCATTAGAATAACAAAGTATAAAAGTAACAAAACAGTTCGTAAAAGCTGAATATAGCAAAAGGCTAGCTAAATGTTATAGCTTACTTCCTAAGAGCTAAAAGTAACAAAACTGTTCTTAAAAGTCAAAAGTTGCAGAATGGTAGCTAAAAGTGGCATAAGAAAACAAAGATGGAGTGTGTATGCTAAAGCAGATATAAAAAAGAACAATATTTTTGAAGGAATTAAAGAGATTAACATGCATTCCCATGGAATAAATATTTGCAAACAAACAAAGAGAAAAGGCTAAATATTTTGAAAACTCTAAAAGTAACAAACAAACCCAGAAGTAGCACTAATCTGAATGAGCTGAACACTTTGAGATATTAACGTCAGAACCAGCACAACGTATGTAGAAGTTTAATAACGAGTCATGAACGGAAAAAGCAAAACCGTGAAACGTTGATGAGCAGCAGAAAACCGAACATTTAAAGAAGATGTACTCGTGTCACTCATTTTCCTGACGTCCTCGTCAAGAATTAACAGCTAGAGTCAACGAAACGTGTTTTCGTGCCACGTTTTATCAGAACACGAAAACTAAAAGCGCTTCAGTCGAGCGTGAAAACAGATTTCAGAGAAATGCAACAGGTGGAGTCACATCCTGTCTTCGTGGAGACGTCTTCTTTGTGTCTCCAGAGACAAACGTCTGCCACCAGACGTGGGGTTATGGTGGGAATGACAAAGGTGGGTGTCAGGTGGAGAGGAGCACCAGCCGTGACGCCTGAAAACGGCGATCGGCACAGAACGCCGTCTGCTTCGGCTCCTACTTGCAGACCTGACGGTGCAGCCGGGTACCGATCAAATATCAGTCCAACGGTTCTGTGCAGAACTCCAGCCCTTCAAAGCAAACGAACGCTGACAGCATGTGTGCTTTGTTTTTATTTATCTTTTGTAAGGATTTTCTACATCTACAGACTTTGTGCTGTTTTAGCATACATTTAGCTCGTTTTGTAACTTTTATACTTTTCTAAATATTTTACTTTTATTTACAAATATTGTCCCCGTAGAAGTGCACAAGATCCGAGTGAATTATTTGAAGACATTGTTCTGCTTCCAGCAACCCTGTTAAAAGGTTTAGCTTTTAGCTACTACATTGCTTTCTTCTAGCTAGCCTTTAGCTACTTTTAACTTTTAATTACATTTTACTTTTAACAGCTTTTTGATACGTTAAGCTAACCTTTAGCTACTTTTAGCTTTTAATTACATTTTACTTTTAACAGCTTTTTGATATGTTAAGCTAACCTTTAGCTACTTTTAGCATTTAATTACCATTTTACTTTTAACCTCTAACAGCTTTTTGATACGTTAAGCTAACCTTTAGCTACTTTTAGCTTTTAATTACCATT